GGTCTGATCCATGAGGCGTGAGGGGCGGGGCGGGGGGGGACAGTGACACACAGAGAGGGGCCTGGTCACCGTCTGGACGAGAGGCCCTGGGCAGAGATGGTGGGCAATGGGGAGCCACATGACGTCAGCAGGGAGCCAGCGAGAACTCAGTCCAACAAGAGGGGGCGAGAGGCAGGAGCCAGGAGAGCAGAAGCGGCAGGACGCTGGTGGAGGGGACACAGAGTGGGTGCCCTGACTCCCTCCTGGGGCACAGCTTGGCCAGCTCAGGCTGCTCTTACGGGACCGGCTGGTAGCTTCCACCTGCTAACGCCGCTTGAGGTCTACAAAGCACCGCCTGGGACTTTGGAAACCTCCTCCAGCCCAGGCCCTTCTTTCTCACTCGGTTGGGATACGTTTTATGCAAAGGTACTCAGCACAGTGTCTGGTCCCTGGTGGCCGTTCAGGAAATGCCTGTGGATTAAGTGAACGGATGAACCGAACTAAGGAAAGGAAGGAACGTGTGAGTAACTGACGACTGTCCCCTTGGCTCTGGGGCCGTGTGGGTGTGTGGACGAAGCGCCCTCCCAGATACGTTCTTTGGAACTCCCAGGCCTGGAGACTTTCTGGGCAGTGAGTGGGAGCAGGGGGGCCTGGTTGCTCGGGGACAGGATAGGGAAGTGTGTCCTGCCAGGCCTGGCTGTGGAGGGGTCTAGAAAAGCCAGGCGGCTGGGCTGGGAGGACAGAGTTGGTGATTGACTGAAATGGTTAAGGGTCAAGGTGGGTTCGAGCACTGGGAGAGCCTGAGGCTCTGGGAGCACAGAGATGTCACCTGGGGCTCCACGTGGGAGGCAGGAGAGAAGCGCTATGGTCTCCGGGCCACCATCCGGGTCTCCAGCCCCAGACGGCAATCTTGGTCGTAATAAGACAGCTATCACTGTGGGGGGGCCCATCGCACCCCAGTCACTGTGGCCGGATGCCCTCCTTGCTCTGTTTCATTTAACCCCACCCCTGCCCACTTGTCTAAGGCAGGTACCATCTTATCCCCAATTCCCAAGGCGGAAAAGGCCGAGGGGCGCCAAGAAGTACGTAAACTGTCATCTGGAACCAAAATTTTGCCCGGGCCTGTGTAACTCCAGGCCCCGGGCTCTCACCCAGAGCTGGGGGGAGGGCAGATGGGGAGGAGGGAACATTGGCCCCACTCCACCTCAGGAATAAAGAAAGAGGACTTCTGGGACCCCGAGAGGAAGTCTGAAAGAGAGAGGAGGTCCCTGAGGGTGCTGAGAGCCCCTGTCACCTGGGCATCTGTGTCACCCCAGGGCAGCAGGGAGGGGAGGCCCCCTCTGTATCCCATGGGACGCATGAACCAGGAGAGGAAAGAAAGCTGGTGTGGCTCCCGGGGCCCATTGGCAGGAAGAAATGGCAGGGGGGGGAGGGTCCCGGCCTAAGGAGGGACCCGGGTACAGGGGAAGGCCGCAGGGGGTCCCAGACTTCTGGAGCGAGATTGAATAAAGGCTTTGTCGACAGGAAGAGGGAAGTCTGGGCGAAAGAAGAATCTGGGGAGACAGACACATTAAGGTGTGACCCCTTCCAGAATCGGTGGTAATGGCAGATCCGGGTGGAAATGTCTGGTGGACAGCCAGAAAACTGAACAGTAGCAGCAAAAGGCGTGGTCAGTACCTCTCTCCCTCGCTCCTTGTCACCGGGGCTCATGCTCGCCAATGCACAGGGACCGTGTCACATACATCCTTGTGCACCCACCACCTGTCACAGTGCCAGACGGTGAGCATTTCCCCAACTGCGACGGAGACAGTAGCCTGGGTTGGAGTAGCTTGCCGGGAAGCCTCACGTTGTGCCCCGGGAACGATGGGGCTGTGGCCAATTCAGGCCCGGGGAGGTGACAGGAGACCTTGACGGCATGGGCCTTCCGCCTCCCTGCCTCCTGCCGCTGCACCCCAGCTAGACTGACGGGCACCCCGGCCCCGCCTCAGCCTAATGCCTCTGCCCGGGTTGGGGCCTCGTGCTGGCGGGAGCCTCACCCCCCACCCCCCACCCCAGGCCACATCCCCAGCTTGGTGGCCGCTGAATACAGCACAGC